GACTGTTCCCTGGGGGTTGATGGGATTTTTGTGAGTGGGGATTGGCCTTGGTGTTCTCCTGCTTCAGGATCCTTGTTGGAGAAAGGACTGTCTTCTGCATGATGGTCCCTTGAGTCCAGAGTCCAGTCTTGGTGATTCTAAGACGGGGGTTTGAAGAAGACTGTAGTTGTCCTTCACAGTTAAATGGTAAGAGGACTTAATGACTATGGGTGTCTTTGAAAGCAGTGTTTACCCTTTCCATCACTAATAAAAACTGGCATTTATGGAGCCCATCCTCTTAGCCACAGTAACTGAGAAGCTGAGGGTTTAATGCTCAGTATGAAGGATGTCTTTTGGTGTGAAAGGTTGGGGAAAGTTGGTGCCTTCTGCATCTGGTCTGTTCCTCCCTTGCAGAAGAGGTCTTGTGAGCAGAGGGGCCTCTGCCACATCTCTGACCAAGTGTGTGTCCTTTTCACTGGGCCTAGTGGCCTGCAGCTAACCCTGTATCCTGGTCCTTCCTCTTGGGGCTTTGCTTAGCTGCTTTCGTCTAGGTCTTTCATCCACCGCTCCAACTCCCTGCCAGCCCTTCCTCTATTCCTACTGGGCTCTGTGTGCCCCTGTGAGGAGGGAGACTTGAACAGCTACTCCTCAGGCAGGCAGAATGAGAGATCTGCCCTAGGGGTATCCAGGGCCTAGAGAGGTTTCTGCCTGGAAGCCTGTTCCACACAAACCTGGATTTGTGCATTGGGCTGGTTCCTTGGGGATCACTAGCACTTTGTTCCTGAAAGCTTGTTTTAATTTAATCTTTTCTGAAGGTCTTTAAACAAGTGTCAGTTTTTCTGAAGGAAGACCTTCACTGGCACATGGATGGGTTGTCTGAGCCCCTTTCTTCCTACCACTTTTCTCTTTAGAAAGTCATCCCTTGCCTCCAGGCTGCAGAGGCTATGAAGGAAGAAGGGGTGGTGGCCTGCAACCAACACCTCCCTGAAGGAAAAGGCTGGGTAGCTTGTAAGGCTGTACTGGAATTAGACAGTGTGGTGAAGAAGCTCCTTTTAAGCCTGTTCTTTGGGCTGGGGATGTAGCAAGCATGCATGAGTCCCTGGGTTCAATCCCCAGCATCAAAATATTAGTAAGTAAACAGGCTTGTTCTTACTGAGAGGGGTTCAAGAACAGAGTTGAAGGTCGGGAGCTGATACTACCTATGCCACTCAGGTGCTGCCCTTCTTCGCTCCTGGAGACCCTAGCACTGGGAATGAGACTGAGGTACCTCCCAGAGGAGGTGAGAAGAGGTCAGGGGGTTGTTGATCCAGCACTAGCTGGAGGAAAGTAGCCCTTAGACCTTTTTCCCTGAGGGACAGGAAAGACCTGGATGACTGTAGGAAGTCTGCTAACAAGTGGTAGCCAGTGGTGTAGACTTAACAGGCAGGTGCTGGACATCTCCCACCACCTGACTCCCAAGCACTTTAGAGGAAAGACAGGCAATAGGGCTTGAGTGAGAGGAGAGAAGCCTTGGGAACCCCATGGCCTGGGAGCAGGGACATAGTTGTGACAAAAGCTGGTCTTTTCTACTTAACAGGCCAGGAACTGGCTGGGACCTGCAGCAAGGCTGGTCTGTTCCCAGCTGTCATGGGGGGTACACAGCTATCTGTGTCTGTGATGTCCTGTATGGGGTACAACCCTAGTAAGTTTCCCTGTTCGTGTTAAAAGTTTGGTGCTTCCAGTAGGTTCTACCAGAAGTGTTCTTCCTCAGCATGTATCATCTTTTAGTGAGTTCTCAAGATTCTCTATCTACTTTCCAGTATCCACTCCACTGACTATACACTTCCCTTCACCTCTGCTAAAGGACAGGATTGTGGGCCTAGCAAGCACGGTCTGCTCTTTCTTGCTCTGAAGGTGACCATTCTTTTTTCTTTTTCTTTTTTTTTTTTTTTTTTGGTATTAGGGATTGATCCCAGTGATGCTTAATCACTGAGCCCCAGTTCAGCTCTTTTTTATATTTTTTATTTTGAGACAGAATCTCACTAAGATGTGAAACTGGCTTTGAACTTGCCATTCTCCTACCTCAGCCTACCTCAGCCTCCTGAGCTGCTGGGATTATAGGCATGTGCCACCTAAAGGTGTCTATTCTTAGGGGACCATTCTTAAAGGTCTGTGGTTGCTCTTCACCTTTTAGAATGTAAAGGAGACAATCCCTTGGATTGTGTGGAGGCTTCTGCAGAAGGGGCTAGTCTGGGGTTGGGGATGTGGCTCAGTGGTAGTGCACTCGCCTGGCATGCGTGCGGCCTGGGTTCGATCCTCAGCACCACATACAAACAAAGATGTTGTGTCCGCCAAAAACTAAAAATAAATATTAAAAAATTCTCCTTCCCTCCCTCCCCCCCCCTCCCTCTCTCTCTCTCTCTCTCTCTCTCAAAAAAGGGGGGGGGCTAGTCTTGAGAAGGGCCCAAGAAACAAGTTTGTTTGTTTGTTTGTTTTGATGACAATGAGGATCTAAACCAGGGCCTCATGCATCTTTCCATCATGGCATCAGTAGCTATAGAGGTCTGATTCCAGTCTGCATGCAGCTTCCCTCCTGAACGGCAGATCCAGGTCCTGAGGCTGGCACCAGAAAGTGCCATGGGAGGAGTGGGCTCTGGTAGTGACTTGAGACATGAAGACTACTTGGTCAGGCCTTGAAGACGTGACTGCATGTCTCAAAGGATCCTGACTGTGCCATCATTTATGCTGTCACTGTCCCTAGCCTCAGTTTCCCCTCATTTGTAAAATGATGGAGTTAAACTGAATACTCTCTATGATACCTTTGACCTCAAACATTGCTCCCCCACCCCCCAGGGAAGAGGAAAAATAAGAATCCAGCGACCACCTAAGGTTGTCATACCCACATTCCCAACTATAGACTGACCTGGGCCTGATCCAGCCTCACTAGACAACCATGGAAAAAAATGGTGCCCGATAGGTGAGGGCCTGTAGGGCAGTGATGACAGGAGCCCTAAGTGAAACAGCACTTGGTTGATCCCTGCATGTGTGCCAGGCATGGAGTAAGGTGAGCTTTCTCTTGGAGGTGGGTGGTGGTGGTGGTGGTGGTGACAGATAAAGAAATATATTCAGAAAGATAAGGAACTTCTCCAGACCAAGCATAAAGCTGGGATGCAGACTCTGGTCTAAGGAAAGCCTGCTCTTTCTCATTTACAGTGCCATTCTGTAGTCCTCGGTCACATCTGGTCTCTGGCCATTTTTTCTTTGGAAGGACTTAGTGTGTAGAGATGTGGAGGTCTCAAACGTCAAGGCCTGACTCGAGGCACTTTGGAAGATTGAAAAGTCTTGTGTCTTACTTAGCTCCTGTCTCTCGGACTTGATGCAATCAGGATGAGAGGGTCCGCTTAGGCTGGTGGGAACATAAGGCAAGGGTGCCAAGGACCACTGCAGGACTCGGGATGGAAAGGGGAGCCAGGAAATCAGGAACTGAAGCATTAGTGCTCTTTAGCTAAAGAGTGAGGAAAGGGTGGGCCAGAGGACAACAGCACAAGCAACTGCTATGAGATGGGACACTGCAGGTGTTTGTCAGGGTCCTTGGGAAGGGTTTGGGGTCAGATGGGGTTGGAAGCAGGAAGGTGGGTGTGCAGTAGAGACTTGTCCTGTCCACATGTGGCTGAGATTGTTGAGCTCAGGCTTACCCCACCACTGGTTTGCCAGTTTCTGACTTTTTCTGCCTTCATCACTCTAGCCTTACTGTCATCTGAAACAAGTGCCAGGAGAAGGGACTGGCTACTGAATACATGTGTGACAATTCTTTATTCAGCTGTGGGGCTAATTAGGTTGCCCAGGTGGATGGTGTCAGACAGCAGTCAGGGTCTTTTACAACCTGGGTCTCGCCTACCTCTGCTCCTTGGTGAACTAAGCCGCATGCTCTGGACAAGTTACTGAGCTTTGCTGGGCCCTGTTTCACTGTGTGGACAAGGGAGATAGGAGGGCAGTGTCATTGGCTGGGATTGCTAGAATTAGAAAGAACCAAGGAGTATATTCAAGTCAGATTGCAAAGGGTCTGTGACCTGGCAAATAGGGACACATCACCTAATCCATAGGTGCCTCTTTTCCTGAGAGATGACAAGGACAGATTGGGGGCTAGAGTGTAGCCTTTGGGAGTATTTTACAACCTAAAAAATGGAAACCAGTGGGAAAGGGCCTGGTGACCCGGAGGGAAGACTAGAAACAAGACTCTGAGCTGGAAATAAGGAAAAGAGTCCCTGTTACACACCCACTCCCTGACCCTAAGCAGGAAACTTTGTGCTGAGAACTTGCTATTTAAGGGGCCTCTGGGGAGGTCTGGCCAGAAAGGAACCATTTGAGGGAGGGTTTAAAATTAGTCTGAGCAAAATAGGTGGCCTCTGGGGAGAACTGAGGCAGAGGCTTCTGTGGGGCTGCTCTGGCTCTGGGTCCTTGAGCCACCCTAATGCACCCTCCTGGTGAGGACAGGAAGGAGGAGAGGACTGATTAGGGCCACTCTGCACAGCAGCTCCAGGGCATAGTGTGGCATAGGACTTAGTTCCATGTACCTCTTTGCCTCTCCTCAGACCATACAGAATCTCTCAACCACGGTATCTTTAGGAAAAATATATACGTATTTTTTTCTGTGGCTTTTTTGGGGGGTGAGGCAATATAGCTTTCTTCAGATTCTTAGAGGAGTAGGACCTTTATGTGCAAAGAGCGTGTATGCTTTGTCAACAGAGCACGTTCTCCTTGCCTCTTTTAGCCACAGTCTGTGCGCAGAGGTGTTCAGCAAGTGCTTGCTTAATGACACCTACAGGATAAATCTAAAGAAGAAAGGTGCATAGAAAGGGCTTTGAAAAATTTAAAGCTGTGAGACTAAATGTAAATATGCCTCTGTGTCCAAAGGAGGCCCAGGAAATACTGAATTCCTCCTTAAGCTCTAGAAGGACTCTAGTTTCCTGCCTGAAGGAACAGCCCCCATTCCTGTCCTTCCTGTCCAATCTGGACCTGACCACTGTGGTCTCTGTCCTTAGGTTCGGACATTGTTTGTCAGTGGCCTCCCCGTGGACATTAAACCCAGAGAACTCTACCTGCTCTTCCGGCCGTTCAAGGTGAGTCAGGACCCAGCCACCCCCAAGATAGAGCCCTGGACCAGGGAGAAGTAACAGGAATGAATCTCTAAATTGAGTTGTGTGCTGGCAGTTGGATCAGCAGCTGTGGTCACAGACCTGGTTCTGTCTGGTTCTGCTAGTGTACTTCTTTCACTTGGTTAGCTCTTTTGGAGCCTCTGTTTCCTCATCTGTAAAATGGAGACATAAAGGATCTTAGTAGTTTTGCTATATAAGGAATCTTAAGATTTGGTGTAGGCTTTTCCATTTGCAGATGAGAGAGCTTAAAAGGTAAGATCTGTGCTTTCGAATTACAAGTTAGTGGAGCGCACAACAGTTTACGCATGAAGTGATGAATGCCACCGCATGATACCACCCCATGTGCTAGACCATGTGATTCAGAACACAAGGGCGGTTGGAACTCCACAGTGGTGGAGGTTAGAGTGAGTTGGCTTTGTGGGGGAGAAGGGTGTGAGAATGATTCAGGGGTCACTGGGGAAAGGTGGGGCTGAGGGGGCAGTGCTGGGTTAGCATAATAGAGGCTTCTTACCTTCCCCAGTAATGGCCACCTCTCTCTACAGGGATATGAAGGGTCCCTGATCAAGCTCACCTCGAGACAGGTAATTTCCCCCGCCCCCAGGTTTTTCTTCCTCCCAGCCCATGCTGACTGCTGAGTTTATAACTGAGGTCTGGTTCCTTTCCCCTAACATGACGGTGAAACACACTCTGCAATCCATATCTGTCTTCAGCTGACAAAAGGATGGCCTCCACAGGTCCCTCCCCACTTCACCAGCTGTTGGGGTCCAGTAAGCTCCTGGCCTTCTGTGATTGACTCTGGGGATTTGAGAACCACTGTCTGGGCCCATGGCTGAGGATAGTAGAGAAGGTAGCTGAGCTCTGACCTACTATCTTTATGCATTTAAACAGGCTTTTACAAAAGAGTGATTTTTTTAAAATATTTTTTTAGTTGTTGATGGACTTTATTGTCTTTATTTTTATGTGGTGCTGAAGATCAAACCCAGTGCCTCATGCATGCTAGGCGAGCACACTACCACTGAGCCAAAACCCCAGCCCCCAAAAGGGTGATTTTTTTAATGCAGTGAAATAAAGCTTGGTTGGCATCATTTCCCATGGTGTGGTACAATGGAGGGAGACTTCACTTTGGGTGCATGTGGATCTTCCAGCTGTACCTTAGGGAAGGTGTGGGCAAGGAGTTTTTTTCCTTCTCTGTTCTCTGTTCTCTTATCAGCAGAACAAATACTGTTTCTAGTTCGGTCATGATCCTTTTTTTGTTTGTGGTGCTGAGGATTGAACCCAAGGTCCTAGTATATACTATAGAGCTCTACCACTGAGCTCCACCCCCAGCCCAGTAATCTTTGTTTGGTTGTTTTAGATGGGGCAAATGGCATACTGGGAGAGATGTGAGGATGTTTTCTCTTTTTTCCTACTAGCCTGTTGGTTTTGTCATCTTTGACAGCCGGGCAGGAGCAGAAGCCGCCAAGAATGCATTGAACGTGAGTAGGTGGAAAGTAGGCCTTCTCTGGTAGGCAGTGAGTGCCCCTGTTCTGTCTTTTGCAAACCTTCCCCCATTTCACACCCAAGAAAAGAGTCCATAGGTGAACTTCATTTCCCACTCATCTCAGGGCAGAGTCCTTGATTCCCTGTTTGTGATAAATATCATTACTCACAGGTCTAAGCCACATTCTTCTACCATGGCCCCATGTGCATGAGACTTGTAGGCGAGCTTGGTTCCGGAGCCCTCTATATCCACTGCAGTCGACAGTGTGGATCCTACAGAGTAAGTCTTTCTCTTCCTTTCCTTCCTGTGTAGGGTATTCGCTTTGATCCTGAGAACCCGCAAACCCTGAGGCTAGAGTTTGCCAAAGCCAACACCAAGATGGCCAAGAGCAAGTTAATGGCAACACCAAATCCCACCAGTGTTCACCCTGCCCTAGGAGCACATTTCATCGCCCGGGATCCCTGTGAGTGGTACTCTGAGCTGCCTTCTTTTGCCCCTTTGCCTGGTCAGAGCTGGTAGGCTCTACTGGAGTTGCATGCAAAGAGACACTCAGATTCTTGTTGAGGGAATCAGTCCTGTCTGTCTTCCCCTCTTCAGGGGGCTTCTTGCATCCAGAGCTACCTTTGAGATTCCTTCCCTGTGGCCTTGGTTGACTCTCAGAGGGACTGTGCCTGAGCTGTTGGGGTTTTCAGCTTCTTGAAGCCAGTTCTTGAAGCCACCTCTGATTTTTCTTATTTGAAATGGATTGAGGCCTGTTTGAGAACTTATTGCTGCAATCAGGGTGCCCATCATGCCAGGCCAAATTCATGTGGCTTCTTTGCCTAGTCTTGGTCTTCAGTAGAGGCTGGGGGTGGAGGTTATGGCTCAATCATAGTGCTGGGTCCCCTTCTCTGTTTGGAAGGGGGTGGTAGGAGGAAAGACCAGTGTTCTGACGATGGAGGCTGTTGTCTCCTGTTATAGATGACCTGATGGGGGCTGCTCTGATCCCTGCGTCCCCAGAGGCCTGGGCCCCTTATCCTCTGTACACCACAGAGCTGACCCCAGCCATCTCACATGCTGCGTTCACCTACCCAGCTGCCACTGCTGCTGCTGCTGCTGCCCTCCATGCTCAGGTAAGCCCCTCTGGGTGGAGGAGTAGAAGGGCTCTGAGTTGGCTCTTCCAACTTAGACTTTGTACCTTCCTGGCCATGGGGCCACTTCTATTCCCAGAGCTCCAGTGGAACTGTTGTCCTTCAGGATGATCTAAAAGACTAGGCTTCAGGGATCTATAAGGATTGGGATCTGACTGAGGGGAGGGAGACTGTGAGTGGTGAGCTCCTATAGAGGCTGTAAGGCAGAGTGCCAGGAGTGCTGAGAAGACTGGCTGTGGCATCGCCTCCCGGAGCCCACCGTGCTCTGCCCTGCTTCTCTGTGGTGACAGGATCACAATTCCATTCCCAGTCCAAGCATGATCTCTGGAACCAGATGTGCCTCTGCCTGTCTTTATGAACTTCGTCAAGCTTTTAAAGATTTCTCTGCCTCAATTTTTAATCACCTGGAAAATGAGAATAATAGACTTTGCCTTAGTTGTTGTGACAGGTTGATGTTAACACAGTGAAGTTCTAGAACTGTGCCTGGTTGTCCTAAGAGGTCTTGAGTGTTTGCTCCTGTTTTTATGAAACCTGGCTATTTCTGGTCTTAGGGCAGGAAAGTGGGAGCAGACATGTCTTGGGGGGAGTTGGGGAGGGTGAGGACTGGGCCCAGGGGGCTCTGTGTCAAATGCTATGTCAGATCCCAGCCTCTGGCCACCCAGGTTTACTCTGGTCTGACTTTTTTTTTTTTTTTTTTTTTTTGCTTTTATTTTTTAAATACATGACAGCAGAATGCATCACAATTCTTATTACATATTTAGAACACAATTTTTCATATCTCTGTACTCTGGTCTGACTTTGTCATTAAGTATAAGCCTTGGGATATACTACCAGTGATGTCTCACCACACTGTGTGTGTGTATGGAGAGTGGTCTGCACAGTGGCAATGACAGGAAGCTACCAGGTGTGTGGACAGGATGCTGCCAGACAGTCACAGGAGGAAGGCCAAGGAGCAGTCTTGATCAGCCTCTGATCTTAGCCTCTGATCGGCCAGATGACCAACAGCTGAGCAAGCTGGCCCCAGCGGGATGGCGGTGGGGTGTGCTGTGCTGTTGAGGGAGTATATAAAGGTAGGTGGCTTGGACCTGACCTGGGAAGTAGGGAAGGGGACAAGGCGAAAGGACATGAGAAGCCAGAAAGGGAGAGTTCACTGGAAGAAGAAGCTGCTGGTGTGGGGAGCTAGGTGCTTTGCTAAAAGCTGAATGCATAACCTTCTTTAGGCCCTTTGAGGGGCTAATGACATTGAGGTTCACCAGTTCCAAGGTAGAAAGTTCAGATTCATGGTCCACTACCTGAGCCAACTTTCCCCTGGCAGGGAATTCCTTGGCTACAGCATCTTTTGATTGTACCAAGGGCAGAAGAATTGTGGTTATAGACTCGCCACTGTTCCCAGCTGATTACCAGAGACAGCGCTGAAAAATTGATTAAAGCATAGAAAGAGGGCAAAGGTCTTTCCCTGGAGGAAGACCTTTGAAGGTTTGAGTGTGTGCCACAAACTAGTTTCTGTGGCAGGGATAGAGTGGGGAGCAAGAAAACCCATCCTGTGTGTCTGCCCAGGGCAGACCTGTAGTGCTCCAGCGAGCTGAGCTGTTTTAACTGTAGGGGCCCCAGGAGACACTGATGGGACACAGAACTGGCCTTGCTGGGCTCCTCACCTCTGGTCCTGTGTCTTCATCTGTAAAATGAGAGGGTTGGACTGGATCAGGTGGAGAGGTTCTGCTCTGTCCTGAGATGCTAGGCCATGACAGACAGGGAGGCAGGAAGGGGGTTGATCAAATGAATCAGGGGAGGCTTGGAGTGGCATGCTGCTACCTGTCACTGAGCTCCATGCCACAGGGTTGCGTGCCTGCCATTTTTCTTTTTTCCAGTTTCCTCCCATAATCTGCCATATCTAAGGATAGTGGCAGTTTTCGGGAAGAAGAAAACTCATGTCCAGAGGTTAACCAGGTGGTCATTAGCCAGCCATTCATTCCTCAGCAGTAAAAGAGGCTGTTAGGACCAAACGTGTTAGTCCTTAGATTTGGGAATAGGTGTGTAGGTAAATTCACAGATGTGAATCTTTTATGGAAAAAAGAAATAGGCTTGAGAACATTTTCCAAGTAGAGACTTTTTTTTCTTTCCAAGAGCCCCTTGACAAAAATGGAGGCTGAAAGCATCTAAATAAAGAAAATGGATTCTTCTCAACTAATAGAAAAACTCAGGGCAAGAAGGTGACTTTAAGAGAACGGCCAATGGTCGAGGTTGTGGCTCAGTGGTAGAGTGCTTGCCTAGCATGTGTCAACCACTGGGTTCGATACCCAGCACCCCATTAAAAAAATAAATAAGATAAAGGTACTGTGTTCATCTATAACTAAAAAAAATATTTTTAAGAGAGAGAGAGAACTCTCAAAAGACAAGCAGGGATGAGGGCCGGACCCCTTTCTCTGCCCCATCATGCACAGCTCCACTGCAGGCCAGGCCTTGGAGGTTATTCTGTCCTGCTCTGTCTTGGCACAAGGCCATCTTGCTCAGTCTTATAATCCTCATAAAAGAATCTTCTCCTTTGAAGGGTTGAGCTTTGAAAACAGGCATGGATGGCAGGGGTACAGTGGGGCTTGGCACATAAAAATGGTGGCTTGAAAGCAGGGATTCTCCATCTCCTGTGGCATCCCAGTGTCCTCCTGAATGGAATTTCATTTTCCATTTCAATCTGAGAAATGCAGGTCATTTACCATGGCTCGATCCCCCTTAAACTGCTTCAACCACTTAGGTGGAAGTCACATTAACCCCCCCTTTGCCTCCATTTTCTGTTAGTATACTGATGTGTCTGGAGATGGGGCATTAGCTTAACAGGTTGTTTGTTTAATGAAAATTACTCAGAACAGCATTTGGCACATGGTGAGCTTCTCCTAAGCATTGGCTACTACAGGTCTACATTTAGGGAAAGCAGGTTTTTGGGTTTTGCCCGCCCCATCCCTCCCTTTGACCAATTTTACTCCCAGGAAAACCACTCGTGTTAGTCCTTAGATTTGGGAATAGGTGTGTAGGTAAATTCACATATGTGAATCTTTTGTGAAAATTACAATACATAGTTAATCTTTTCTGAGTTTGAATCTTAAGACAGTTTTCTTAGTAAGTAAGTATAGACTTGCATTTGGGATGCCTAGCTGGCACAGCGGTATGGAAATGGACCTGTGCCTGGTGGACAGTAAGTTAGTTGTTTGCATACTTGTTTTCTACTGTAGTGCCCTTGCTTTGCTCACATGTCTAGGCACCTGTCACAGACCTATTGCAGGGTCCAAGTGTAGGCTGTCACCTGGGTCAAGTATTGTTTAATTGACCTTCAGATGAGAGAGGTTCCCATCTTTCTTGACTATTCATATTTCTAATTCCTTTACCCTCTTCTTGGTGTCATCTTCTCCATTAGCCAGTCCTAAGATCTGAGAGCGAGCTGAGGCCATGTCCTCCCCTCCTTGTTGGAAGCAGCCCCCCATAGGCTCATCCATAGCCTCATCATTGTGCCCTGTGGGATGGTCTCTCAGGAGCACATTGGGTTAGCTAGAGGCCCCGACTCTGGTTGGGTCCCTAACATTGGTCCTGCCCCCAGGCCTGAGGGTCTCAGGCAGGAGGAAGAAATCTAGGAAAGGTCATGTTGCTTCTGGAGAGCCACTGGCCTATACCAGGCCCCCGAGGGAAGCAGCCCCTCTAAGTGCATTCCATCTACTTCAGTGACACGGCTGTCCTGAGCCCACAATGGGAGCTTTCTTCTTCTTTTCCCCCAATTAGTCACCTGACTTACCCAAGTTGGAGGGAAAGTTGCTGCTTGAGATGCAGGGGTCACAGTACCTTGTGGAGGAAGTGTAAGACAGGATCTAGCAGCTGCTCAGATTCTCCAGTGTAAAAAAAAGGTAAGCTAGAGGTTTCCTAGTCCCTTCTAGTCTCATCCCGTGCTCTCCCCTCTTTGGCCCTGCAGGGCACCCAGATGGGTAAGGGATCTGGGCAGGGCCCACTGATGGGTTCCCCGAGCTGGACTGAGCCAAGGCTTCTCTGGTGGCACCACTGCCAGTTTCTCATGTGTCACTCTTATGTGGAATTATTTGTAGTGTCCAGCCACATGGCCAGCTGAGAGGGCATCCCTGGGCCACATCTAGGAAGGGACATGCTGTTGGGGGCAAGAGAAGCTTTCTACACAGCTGTCAGCCTAGAAGGGAAGGATCTGCTTCCCGACACTTAGGAGGCAAGGAGAGGCCTTTTCTGTGGGCTACAGGCTCTATTAAGGTAGTTCCTGTGACCCAGGGCCATTGTATTCTAGTGACAGCACTGCCACATCCTTTAGAGCCCAGGGGAATCCTAGTGTTGATTGGGTGGCCAGACACTCACTTCCCACTGCAGTCCAGGGTGGGTGTGTGGCCAGAAATCTGCATTGCACAAAATAACATCAAGAATTTGCACAGAGCAAATTTTTAGGAAACCTCTCCTCCGCCCCCAGAGGGCCTGGCATCCTTGGACATCTTCTGTCTACCCAAGAGGCAGGAATCATGGCTGCTAAGTGGGTAACTGGTACCGCCTGCTCTGCTTCAGGGTGTCTGGCTATGTACTTGGCTTCAATCTCATTCTCTGTAGTCCCTTGCTCTCGTATGTCTTTCCTTCCTTTTTTAAGGGGACCCTGGGCTCCCCTTCTGAGTTCTCATCCCTATACCACATTCACGTGGTGCCCCTTCCCTCTCCAAGACAGCCATGGCAGGCTAGGGCAGACATGCTCTGCCGTGTGTAACAGGCAGGTGCCTTCCCTGCAGCCTTGGCCTCGCAGCTGGTGTAGCCCTCCTTCCAGATGACTGGCCCATGGGGACAGGGTGCATGTTATTCATTCTCTTTCTTTCTCTCTGTCTCTCTCTAGTGCTAGGGATTGAACACACTCAACAAGGCAAGTACTCCACCACTGAGCTTCACCCCTAGCCTTGCATGTCATTTTCTTGATCAGACTCTGGGAATCCAGCTTTGGAACCATTGCTCTGTGGGGCCTTCTGGCAAGTGCTAGAGTTTAGGTGGGCACTGGTAGGATACTTTGAGGCTGCCATCCCTCTAGATGCTTTGAAGAATCGTATAAGGACAGGAGTTTTATCTCTTAGATGACCCTGTTTTGTTTGTCTTGTTTTGTTTTGAGTACTAGAGATTGAACTCAGAGGGGCTTTCCCACTGAGCTTCATCCCCAGACCTTTTTATTTTTTATTTTTGAGTCAGGGTCTTACTGAGTTGCTGATGCTAGCCTTGACCCGAACTTGTGATCCTTCTGCCTCAGCCTCACCAGTCTCTGGGATTGCAGGAGTGCACCACTCCTGGTGTGACCCTGGTTTTTTGGGGGGCGGGGGGTGGGTGGGTACTGGGGAGTGAACTCAGGGGCACTTAACCATTGAGCCACATCCCCAGCCCTGTTTTGTATTTTATTTAGAGGCAAGGTCTCACTGAGTTGCTTAGCGCCTCGCTGTTGCTGAGGCTGGCTTGGAACTCGCGATCCTCCTGCCTCAGCCTCCCGAGCCTCTGGGATTACAGGCCACCACACCTGAACTGATCCTGGTTTTTAATGTACCTTATGTCCTATCTTACCTGATTGTCACATCCATCTCTGTTCTATGACTGGAATGAGGATACTGAGACCCAAAGAAACACAATAGAAATTTACTAGGTTTGTTTTTCTACTAATGTTAGGAATGTCTTGCTCTCCTAGTAAGCAGGGGGGGCAGATTGCTGACTGCCGAGATGTCCCTCTGGCAGGCCTAACCTGGCACATGGCTCAGGCCTAGTGAAGTCTAAAGGCATCTGCATGATCTGCTCTCACGGAGCCTCAATCCTGCAAAGGAGGTGGGGCAGGCAGTCTTCTGGTTTCTGGATGAAGAAACTCATATTTAACGTGAGTAACTGGCCCAGCCTTTGCCAGCCAGTCAGTGGCACAACTAGGACTGCAGCAGGGACACCGAAGGCTGAGCTCATCAAGTTCCCTGCTGAGGGAAAGGACCGCACGGTGGGCCCCTGATGGTGGGTTCTCTTGCAGGTGCGCTGGTATCCCTCCTCTGACGGCACCCAGCAAGGATGGAAGTATCGCCAGTTCTGTTGATTCTTCAGTAAGTGTTGGCCCCAGAAGCCTGGGACAGAAAATGTTCTAGACTCTGGCTTCCTGCAGGGCTGTGGTCCTCTCTCTGCCCAAGTCTCCAGAGCTTGCTACTGTGAGGTGGTACCTGGAGCCTGGTCACTGGGGCATGTGGCTGGTTTTCCCTTTTCCCACCCCCGTGAGCCTGCCATCTCCGTGTGCCACCTCTGCAAAGGGAGGCCTGGGCCAGCTCTACTCCCTTACCTCTGCTCATGGCCACCCCTCTCCCCTCCAGGTCTGGTCGCCAGGAAGTTGGTTCTGGGACTATGTGGTGGGGCCAGAATAGGGCCCTGAGCTTCCACCGCCCCCTGCGTGCGGCCTGTGCAGAGCTGCTGCTTCTCCGGAGACTGTGAATCTTAAGCCTGACTCAGTGAACTGCTTCCTGTTCCTTTCCCTCTTCCTCAGGCTTGTTCTACCCCAAACCCTTCTCCAAGGCCTCCCTGGAGGATTTGAGGGCCTTCTTGCTGGGACACCCAGACCCAGCTAGGAGGCCTCACTGTGACCCAGCAAGACCTGACCTGACCTCCCACTCAAACATGCTTCTTAAGCTCCCCCTCAAGAAAATGAGGCATTTAATTTTGCATGTTTTCTGGCATGAATTAAGACACTTAAACTTGTGTATATGTGAGTGTACAGTTTGTTCTCACACTGTCTCCATAGCAACAGGTCCTAGCTTATGGTGCCTGGTCCCTCTCTCCACACCCCGCCCCTACACCCACTGTGCTTCAGAGAGGCCTGAGCCCTGTGGCCACTTCTCCCCCGAGGACCCATGCACCACACACACTTCCAGGCTCAGCAACCACCACACGACATTTGCCTTGTCATTTCGAATCAGTCCTCTGCTTCCTTCTCAGATGGGCCAATAATTATAAGAAAGTCCTCTCCTCTGCCCATCTTGCTGACCTCTCCACAGGGCGCCCTGCCCCCACCACTGCTCCTTGTTCTTTCCAAACCTTAAAGTCAACCAAAACGTGAAAAGTATTTTTGTACCCTGTGTAACAAAATATTTATGCATCATAAAGGATTTTCATGTGTGTACCATTAATTATTAAAGAGACCTTGTTCGCCTTGTCAGATAAGTTTAATGTTTAGTTTGAGGCACGAAGAAGAAACGGGTTTCCATTCTTCAGCAGTGAGCCTTTGTGTCAGGCGTTGGTTTAAGAAAAATAAAGAAAAAAATTGTGCAATTTTATTTTGTTTTGTGAGCATATCAATGCTTTACCTTTAGTCACAGCTGTGACTGTCTTGCCATTTCAGATGTGGGAGACTAGGTGGCTGTTGTAATTGTTGATCCTGTGAGAATGTGAAACTGGATAATATATGAAATGTAAAATTAAAAAATCCAAAGTGACTGCTCTCTGGCCTTTGCTTCCACCTTCCATGAGACACGACTGCAGGGTGAGGGTGTGACCAGAGAGGTGCTGAGTTAAGGGGAAGGAGCGGAGTGCGCCTGCCTGGAGCTCTGGCCTGGTGACTGTCATGGTGGGAGGGCAGCGGAGCTCCTGTTGCCTTTCTCTCCCCCCCCCCTTTCTTTGGAGAGCTCAGGAAACAAAGTCCTGGAGGGGAAGCAGCTTGCCAGGGGCTGCACAGCTGGGAGCTGTGTCTAACAGCCCACCTTGTTTTTAATGAATTCAGCTCCTCATTCTTGGTTCTGAGGGTAGGGACGGGCTTCCCTGCACCCAGAATAGACACCCTGATATTTGGTCAGGATCTGAGAAGGGACCTTTGTTTTCTCAGCATCCCTGTGTCTGTTTGGCTTCACCCTTCATGGCTTGTGGTCTTTCAAGCCCTCCAGTAGAAAAGGACTAAGGTGTGGGGCGTCAGGCTGCCCCATGAGGTGTCCCACCTTTGTGTACATCTTGTGCTGTGCTGGAGGGAAGGAGAAGGCCCAGGAGCCTTGTCAAAAAAAGATTAAACTAAGCCACTGTGTAGGCTGTGGACTACAATTCTGATTGCTAGGAGGGGAACAGATGGGTGTGAAGGTCCCCAGTGTTGTGCGGTGCTAAAGAGCCTTCCGGGTTGGCCTGGGTCAGGGCCAGGATGCTGTAGCCACCCAGTCCTTCTGTGATTTGGGCTCTCGGTTTTCTCATCTGTGAATTGGTAGTTAGAAATACTTTCTAGCTACTACTAGAGGGATGACCCAGTATTTCTAACTGGCCAACTGGCGAGACTGAGGCAGGAGGATCACAAGTTCCATCCACATCCACCCAGGAGAGCTGCCCCTGCACCCTACCTTCACCCCATACCTGAACCTGTACCTAGAATGAGAGGGCAGGGTAGGCCCCCAGAGCCTTCCTCCCCTGGGGTTCATTCCAGCCTTCCTCTGAGCAAAAGCTAGAGGGGATGGTATGCTACCCTGGTCACTTCCTCTCCTGCACCTGGGGTGACCCTGGTGACATTCCAGGTCCTGCACTAGGTGGCTTGAGTCTCAGGTGTTCCCTGTTGGTGCATGTGCCAGCTGTTAAAAACTCAGAGGTGACAGGTTCATTCAGGTGCTCTGAGGGAGGGGGAAGAGCCTGGGCAGGCACAGGCCCTGTGGGTTACTGGGTGGCAGGTGGATGGTTGTCTGGATCCCAGAGGGAAGCTCTGGGAAGAGGGGTGTTGGTGCCTTTCTTGCCTCAGACCCCTTACCTCACTTGTCAAGTAAGCAAGGTCATTCCAGCCTGCAACCTGTCCCAGTGCTGGTGGGAGAGCTGCTGCTAGCCTTACAGAGCCCAGCCGGTGCCTGACCTACTTCAGCTGTGTCAGGAACCACTGGGTCTTCCCAAGGTGGTGAATTATTTAGCTGGGGCGCCTGGGCCTTTCTGAGAGGGGCTAAGAAAGCTGCTCCATAATTTAAAGGCCCCTGCGCCTGTGGCTTCCCTGGGGGGCCTCCTTCATGCTTTACTGAGCAGGGGCTAGGCCTGGGTCTGAGAGGAGGAGCCAGGAAGGGGCAGGAAGTCCTGTACCCATTCCAGGGGAGGCTCTCCAGCTGGACGAGGGCTTTTCTCAGGGCATCTGCAGAAGGCCTCAATGGACAGTCATGCTTGGCTTGAGCTTGAGTTGATGAGCCTCCCATAGTTTAATAAGGGCTTCCTGGCAAGGGTGTAGTAAGGCTGGGGTCAGAAACACTGGGTTCTGACTCTGTCCCATGCTCTTTCCAGAAGGTACTTACCCCTTTCTGAGGTGTATCATCCTGATCTCTGGTGGCAGGTGTAAAGCTTCTTTCCTTCCTGAAAGGGACCTGAGCATCTGGGAATACCAGGGTTCTTTGAATCGGGGTCTCTTCCCAGTAGCACTAAAGTCTCCCCTGAGGCAGAAGAGGCCATCTGTACATGTCTCCTTCACACACTGATGAGGTCAGTGCTAAAGAGACGCTTGGGAGACTGTACAGCCCTGCTGCCCCTGTGCCCTGGCCAGAACCAGCTCTCCTTGCAATAGAGATGGTGCTCATGGCTCCAGCTGTACCTTACTGGGGAGCTATTGCCTGGCCAGCAACTTTTAGGAGATACACCTTTTTTTTTTTTTTAATGGGTAGGAATACGACTTTTATCTCAGGACCTTACCTAGAGTAGGTTCCCAGGTTCCAGGCTATGGGGTCTGAATCATACATCCTAGAAATCAGTGCAGGATAAAAGTTCAGGCTGCTTGAGGACCTAGAAGACTGGAGGGATCAGGACTCCTATCCCGTGTGTGCCTTGTAGAACTCCATTTCCTGAAGTTTTGAATAAAACCATTTTGATGTTGAGTTCTCTGTCAGAATGCAAATACCCTTCAGAAACAGGACTAGTTGGGCTTTATGGTGCACACCTGTAATCTCTGCAACTGGCCAACTGGCGAGGCTGAGGCAGGAGTTTCACAAGTTACAAACTGTCCTCAGCAGTTTAGCAAGGCCCTAAGCAATTTTAGTGACACCTTGTCTCTAAATAAAATACAAAAAAAGGGCTGGGGATGTGGCCCAGTGGTTAAGAGCCTCTAGGTACAATCCCTCATACAGAAAAAAAAAGCAAAAAACAAAACAACCCCAGGGCTAAGCCCTTGAATAGAGAAGGCGATCCTGAAGAGAAAGGTGAAAAATGGGGAAGAAAGACTTCCTGTAAAGCCAACAGGTGGGAGCAAAAACTCCCAGTTACAGGCCCACCCTGACTCCCACTTCAAAAGAGCAGGACTCTCCCTGACATGTTCTCTAAGGTAGAGCTGAGGGCCACCCTTGTGAGAGGAGAGAGAAGCTGGGCAGATCACTGTCATGACCATACCTCAGGGTTGACCAGAAGGGACTGAGTCCTGATGCTTTTCCCTGGCTGTATAGCCCATCACCCAGTCCACCCACACACTCTGAGAGGCAGTGTGGACAACATCCATGGGCTCCCCTGCTCTCTGGTCTCTGGGTGGAGTCAGTAATGGGAGTCCCTACAATAGTGTGGAGGGGATTCAGTGAGATCAGATGCCTCTTGGTCATTGCCCTCATGACCTTAGAGCGAACCCCTCCACCAGTCTTCTGAAGAATGCTTCAGATGACCCTGAAAAACCAAAATCAGAATGTTATCACTGAGTATTGAGTCCATTTCCCTGCCCCATTTTACAGTTGAGCAAATTGAAACAGGACAAGTGGTCAGCTCTAATGGCACGAAGACATGTCTCCTGGCTTCTACTTCTACCACTGCACATGGCCATTCCAGAACCACACACTGAGGGAGGCAGCAGACCCCTCCCTATTATGCTACACTATGCTTTCTGCTTGAGGTATCTTGGTCTAAATATTACCTGATCTTTCCCTGGGATACTGGATCCTGCTACTTGATTAAGGGACAAAGAGAAGCATTCAGTGGCCCATCTAACTTCAGTCCAGCCTATGCAGTCTCTGGCTTTCTTACACAGAAGTTAGGATTGTTGAGTTTATAAAACCCATCTAGCCCCAGTTTATGCAAGAACCCAAATAGTCTTTCTGCGTTTCTGTCTGTAGTAGAGAAAATGTAATACAGGAGGGCTCTCAAACAAGGATGACACTCTCATTCCATAAGAGCCAACCATTTCTCTCTGAATGTGAATGTATTTCTCTGTGACTCCTTTTCCTTCTCTCACAAGGTTATGAGAATTAATGACAACACAAAAACATGTTCACAGTAGGTACTCAACTGTTTTCCATGATTATCTTAAAAACACATTTTTCGGGCTGGGGTTGTGGCTCAGTGGCAGAGCGCTTGCCTAGCATGTGTGAGGCACTGGGTTCGATCCTCAGCACCACATAAAAAAATAAATAAACAAAATAAAGGTATTGTGTCCATTTACAACTAAAAATAAATAATTTTTCATGTTTCATATTTCTCTCATTTTTATGACAAAATGAAGTTGAGTTGATTTCAATTTCTGCCCTTCTTAATTATTTCTTCAATGGATCAATAGTCATTAAAAGGTTTTTAATCCCTAGAAGAAAGGAGAAGGAAAGACAAAGGAGGGGCCCAGGAACTTACAGAATACCTATAATACCTAGACACTTTGGCACTAGATCTAACTCTAGCATTTTTTTTTTTCTTTTTTTCTTTTGTACCAGGGATGAACCCAGGAGCAATTTACCACTGAGCCAAATCCCCAGTCCTTTTTATTTTTTATCTTGAGAGAGGGTCTTACTGAGTTGCTTAGGGCCTTGCTAAATTCCTGAGGCTAGCTTTGAATTTAGGATCCTCCTGCCTCAGCCTCCCAAATTGCTGGGATTACAGGCATGTACCACTAGCCTTTTTTTTTTTTTTTTTTTTTTTTTGTACCAGGGTTTGAACTCAGGGCACTTGATCACTGAGCCACATCCCCAGACCTATTTTTTTTTTGTATGAATAAACTTTATTTATTTATTTATTTTAGTTGTTGATAGGCCTTTAGTTTATTTATGAATTTATATGGGGTGCTGAGAATTAAACCCAGTGCCTCACACATGCTAGGCAAGTTCACTACCACTGAGCCCCAGCCCCCCTATTTTGTATTTTATTTAGAGACAGGGTCTCACTGAGTTGCTTAGCCTTTGCTGAGGCTGGCTTTGAACTTGGATCCTCCTGCCTCAGCCTTTTGAGTCGCTGGGATTACAGGCATGTGCTACTGCACCAGTTACCACTAGCCTTTTAACTCTGGCCTTTTTAATCAAAGTACTCAGGACTTCAGGATAGTAATACTAATAGGGGTAACATGTTCATGCACTACTATCTCTGATGATCACCCATAAAAGCCCTATGAGATAAGCAAGAAATGCATTTTCCTCTATTTTTTGCATCTATGGAAACTGAAGTTAAATAGGTCCCAGAGAGGGGCTGGGGCTGGGCCTCAGTGGTAGAGCGCTCACCTAGCATGTGCAGGGCCCTGGGTTCAATCCTCAGCACCACATATACATAAAGTTAT